ACGTCCATCCCATGGGGAATGGGAGCAGTAACAAAGGTGTTGCGTTTATATTTTTGTTGAGTGTAGTTTGACAGCAAGCAAATAAGTTTCCTGCCTGGTACAAAATGAAGAAGCTCCTGTTTTATTCATTTTCATATCAGTGTGAGTTATCTTAAAATTCTTGACCATGCATCAGTGCAAATTTTTAGAGTTGATTCTTTTGAAATTGTCATTTGTGCAAAGTCACAAGCTGATAAAATGTTTAATCCATATTAGGTTTTAGCCTTTGCATGTAGTAAGTAGTTTCTTCGTAGTAGTTTTTCTGTTGCACACAAGAAACCACAAGTTCCTGTTTTTATAAATTTAACAAGATTTTTACATGTTTGTTTGTTAAAAGTTCATGCCCTAAATGGAGTGACTGGAGATGTCAAAGGGTCGCGCCATGTATGGTATGACAGGAGATGGCACACATACACACACATGCTGATGTTGCGCACACATGCTTGCCTTGGATGTATGACTGCTTTCACCGAATAAAAGGAGCTGTAAGGGAAGTCAGGTTTGGAGTTGACTGAGTTTGGGTGAAGGGCTTATAACTCTAAGACCCTGATCGGGCTTCCCTTGCCGGCAAGTAAAAGACAAAAGCGCTGTGGTCTTGCTTTGTTCACAAGGATCGGTCTCTGAGACAGCGAGGTCTGTGAGTTTAGACCTAACATAAATCATATTCTGGAGCTGTATAACTAAGAGTCAGTTCAGCAGAGGACTAACAAACTCTTCACTCGGCCTGATGGTAAGTTAGTTTCTGTTTGTATTAGGATGGTGACATATTTGGTGTAGCACAGAATAACCTGTGAACTCAAGCCATGCTGCGATACTGCATTATGTTATTACCTGTAAAGACACTGCAGCCAGTAATAGTGAGATAATTCTGTTTTCTCCTAAAGGGAAGATGATGTATTAAAATTACTTTTTTTATTATTCTGTTTTTTCAGGACGTCCTTTGGATGATTGTCCTCACTGTTGGTCTGCTTGGCTCACATTGTGAGGGCGCTATATCCTGTAAAAATGAAACTAATGTTGATGTAGACTGGTAAGACAACATCTGAGCTATTCATTCAGGTGTGCTGAATTACACATTAGTAACTTTGGTCTTCAAGTGCTTCAAAGCTACGCTATGGTACCTTTTGCACCTGCGTTTCAACATAGTCATAGATGATGTTCAGACACTGCTACACTATTTTACACTGTTATTATCAGTTATTTTATATATTTCCATTTCATAAATAACTTCATTTGGGCAGTAAGACATTACGCATACCTAAAACTATGAAGACAACACACAATACTGTGACACTTGCCTCCTTTCTCCAGCCCTGCACATCTATTTTCATCACTCGTATTATTCTCACTTTATTGATCAAAAGAGGAAACAGGGAAAGAAAACACTTTGCAAAATTTCACAAGCTTCATCTCATTTTAGCATCATGGGGAAGCCAGTGGAAAATACTATTCATAAAAGGCCCTGTTATTCATAGTTAAAGGTTTTCAGTCATATCTCTGCTTACTCTACAGGTGCTTGTGAGACTCGGGTATAACAGAGTTTGTTATTTTCTTCTTCCATGCTCAGTTAAGCTTCTCATCATTTATTGTTATCTTTGAATTTACTGACTTGTCTCTGACATCACCAGGTTTATTTTGTACAAGGTGTTGTCAAATTTGAAACAGTCCTTTTCAATGCTCCACTGGATGCCTAGTGCTCTTTCTTGTGGCATGTCTTTGAATGTCAAGTCTCTTATGTTAATGTTTACAGCACACTCTGATGCAGGTATACTTTGCAAAACAGTGTGATTGTTAGAAACAAACTTGTGGAGACGCAGGTTACCTTTGCGGCAGATTTCTCTGGCTTCTTGTGCCAACTGCATTGCTTCTTTCACTGTGTTTGTGCTCGTAACTCCATCGTCGACATAAAAGTCTTTCTCAATGAACTGTGAACCTGCTGGGTGTGAGTGGCAGTGCTCTTTGGCTAAGTACTTCAGTCCATAATTTGCACAGCCTGGAGATGATGACGCACCAAAAAGGTGTACCTTCATTCTGTATGTTTGAGGTTGTGTGCTTGTATCACCGTTTTTCCACCAGAGGAAACGTAGATAGTCCCGGTCCCTCTCACTGACATGGAACTGGTGGAACATCTTTTCTATATCGCACATTAAGGCAATAGGATGTTGCCGGAATCTCAAGAGAATGCCAGTCAGATTGTTTATTAAGTCTGGCCCTTGGAGGAGATGATCATTGAGACTTGTTCCATTGTGTTTGGCTGAACAGTCAAATACGACACGCAGTTTTGTGGGCTTTTTGGGGTGGTAAATCCCATGATGGGGGATGTACCATTGTTCACCTTGTGTTCCTTCGTTGTGTACTTCTTCCACGTCTCCTCTTTCAATTATGTCATTCATGTATGCAACATAATCATTTTTGTAGTTCTCATCCTTGTTCAACCTTCTCCTTAAGTGTTCCAGTCTGATCTCTGCAAGCCTTTTGTTGTCTGGTAAGTTTGGCCTTTGCTTGAATGGAAGAGGCATCTCACAGTATCCTTGTTCATTTTTCTTTATCCCTTCCTTAAGTTTTTCCAGAAAAACGAGATCCTCTTGTGAGACCGTTTTGTCACATGCCTTTGTGTCCTTGAAATCTGATTCAAGAACATTGATCATGTCCATTGGTGTTACAGCAGGCATTTCCTTTACCATGACCCTATGGCACAGACTTGTTTCAGTTTCATTTGACTCTGATGAGCCACCAACAATGCTCCACCCTAGGTCTGTCTGTATGGCAAATGGCTCATTGTCTTTTCCGAGTAGAACCTGTTTTGGAGCTAGAGTTCTGGGACAGTTAAATCCAATGAGTAGTCCAACATCACAACTCAGGAGAGGGGGTATCTGATCAGCGATCTCTGACAGATGGGGCCATTGCCTTGCAGTTTCATTTGTGGGTATGTTGTCATAGTTAAATGGGATGTAGTCCTTTGTGTAGGAGGGTGGAAGGTCGATGTGAACATCTGAATTATAACCTCTCACACGTAACCCTGCTACTCTCTGGCTTTTGACTGTCATGTGAACTCCCAGCATCGTGGTTAGTTTTAGCTTAACTGGATGGGATGCTGCTTGTAACTGGTTAGTTACCTCCTCACTGACAAATGTGTTGTCACTTTGTGTGTCTAATAAAGCGTACACAAGCTGCTCTTTAGATGGACTCTGAGTAGTGGAAACCCACACAGGAACAATCATGGAGGTACTACCTGATTGACCCACCTTAGTAACATTCAGAGCTGTGGCTGCCATGGTGTCATTTTCTGTGGTTGAAGCGACGTTTGTAGAGCTCTGAGGCCTTTCATTTGTCATGTGACTCTCATTGTGCAAACAGGTGGGGTGTCGTCCTTTGCAAGTGTCACATTTGTGGCGATGACGACAGTCTCTGGCATTGTGGCCCACCTTTAAGCACCCGTAGCACAGTTTATTTTCCTTCACAAATGTCCGTTTGTGGTCTAGTGACTTCTCTGAGAAGCTTGGGCACTTTGACAACTGATGACTTTCATCTTTGCAGAACATGCAGGCCACCTTTAACCTTGTGTCATTTGACTTAGTTTTTTCTCCTTGTACTGTGGCTTGTGTAGTGAAGACTTGAGTCACAGATCTGTTTGGTTTGGTCTCCCTTACGTATCTTTTCTCCAAGGATGAGCTGCATGAATAGAGTGCATATGAAGAAGTCACAGGATTACATGCAATTTCTGCCTCGAGTGCTACAAACTCTGCAAAATCCTTGAAAGAGGGAAAATCTTTGCCTTTCATGAGAGCAACTGTGACTTGACGGTTCCAACGCGTTGCATAAATAACCCTGAATGCCTTTCCTTGCACCTTATTTTGGCACTCATTCCTGTTTTCTACTACCAACTTCCTGTCCGTGTGTAGAAGCTTTTATTTTGATGGGACGATTTCCTGTAAAACTGTTTTTGGCGCAGTTTTCAGCAGCAGTCGCGGGAGTTTAGAAAAGTGATGGCTTAACGGAGCCTATGGTGATTTCTTTTGTCATTAGCAGCCCCCTTGATAGAGGCACAAGGTATGGTTATGATGTAAATAAGGAGACGTTTAGATGTTTTTGTGACAGTCGCTACATTTGTTAAATGTTACGTTGAAACGAACTTCATGTTATAAGGTTTACGATTGTAAGAGTGTGGATTATTTTGCTTACACGCTGTTTCTATGTATACATCCCCAGCTCTTACGGTGAGATTGATGGTTTACTGCCATTAAACCTTCAAAACGTCATCAGTAAAGTGTCATCCTTCATTCGGGGGGGTTCGCTACATCACATATGCACTAATTTGCATAAAGTCCAACAAATAATGTAGTAAAAAATGAATAAGTGAACTGTGAAAATAATTTCTTTACAAATAAATAATAAAAGTGCCAAAGTTGTTGTTTTGTAATAAAGAAGACCTGTTACAGAAGAAAAATCTCAATATAAAACCTGGTTTGGCAAATCAAAATCTACTAAACCATAAAAATAAAGATGTCTGACTGTAGGGGCTAGTTTGAATACGTTTAAACGTCATCAGACAGAAACAGGACCTCAGAGTAAAAACAAGACGGATTCATGCAAAGTCATTTATTTCTATGGTTTCCATGGGTGAAAGAACCACACTGTGAAATATCCATCAAATGTTTTTAATTTCATATCGTTCACAGAAACATTAGATAACACTGACAAGAGTGACGATGTCAGCACCAGATTCAAGTCAGCTTCACTTTGATAAAATAAATTTACAATAAATTCAAAACTGGTGAACGTAGATAGAAAACAAGACCGAGACGATTGTCTGCTGCAGTTAACCTGATCTTGGTCTTTTACGGGTACTAGCAACATTGTTATTGTTACAGTCAGTGTTACCGTCAGTGACACTATCAGTGCCAGTAATCTTTTTAATTGTCCTAAATGCATCTGCCACAGGTTTTCTATTAATGCACAGTGCACCACCAGGCCTTTTGAACTGGGATGGTTCTCTGTTTGAGTCACCAACACACATCCAATCTTTACTGTCAGAAACACACCATTTGGAATGATCACTTCCATTGTTCCAACTACCTGCAGCAGTTTCTACTTCCCTGATGTTGTAAAGGCTGTGGTTATTCTTAGTCGTAAAAGGTTTGCCAGGTTTGCTTCGCCAGGTCTGGATGTATAAATTGCTCTGTAGTGTGTCAGCAATGGTGACATAAAGATCTCCTTCTGCCAAAGTAAAGACAAACATCAGGAAACCACCAGACAGTGTTACAATAAGCCAGAATTTAAAAAAAAGAAAGAGAAAAGTGTTGCTCACAACAACCCTGACTCTACTTTCTCTTTCTGAGAGTTTCTGGGAAGTTCCAGCTCTTGTTATTTAATGATTTCTTTTACAAACATCAGACCTCATATGATCCCTGCTGCTACACTCCCCTGCACTAACTCTGCACTGAGGCTGGGTCACACTAACACCTTAATGAAAGGTCTCCATGGCAATACAAACTTACAGCATAACATGTGTGTTCACAGGATTTATTTTACAGCTTCCACAACATTTTCATACCAGGATCATTATTTAATTTTATATGTGAGTTATTTTTAGTTAAAATCTAAATAAAGTGAGTTTTGAACAGAACTACTCTGTAAAGTTAGATCTACTCGTCGCCCAGCTCATGTTTCACAGGCCAAAACATTAGAGAAGTTAAAATAAAGGACTGTGTTGGGCTTGATGTTTCACACCTTATAAATAAGAGTCTCAGAACTTTGGTGGGGAAACTACAGAAAGTCACAATGATTTCACAAAAGAAACAGTGTGGTTTTAAGATCTATTTTCTCTAATGAATGAAGCAGAAATCTCACCTTGACTTTCGTTTGAGATTTGTTTAACAAAGCGTTTAAACTGCAAACCACCGGCTGACAAGTCCTCATGGTAGGGCAGCGTTCGTTTTATGTTGGAAGAATCTTTGAGTTTTTCAGGATTGTGGTTTTTAAATATATGAGCATTGATGTCTTTAAGATGCTGAGCTGAAAAAAAGTAAAATGAGGGACGTACATGTTACTGTGTTAAAACTTCACATACACTCTAGACATGAAGAATTACCTTGGACATGCTGCCTTACCTATTTGTGCAGACTTATCAGAGGGCAGTGTTACACACATAAATATCTGTGCGTACCTTTTCCCACTGACAGGATAGAAATTATTGCTTTCATTTCCTTTAGGGAATTTTGGTGTGCTGTGTAAAAGCCAGACTACATTATCCGTATCCATCATCACAACTCCTGCAGAACAAGAACATGAAAGAGCTCATGTCATTATTAAGAAGAGAACATTTGCTGAGTGATCTGAGAATAACAGAAGCTGTGGTTCTGATGCTCAGAGGTGAGCGTGAAGGAGAGCACATTTAAATCAGGTGTGTTTTTATTAGTATTTCTTATGTTATTTTTATTATTATTAAAAATTATTTCTACCCACCTTTGCTGTGGCCATATTCTTGTAGTGCGTTACAACTTGGTGTTTGATCATTGTATGCAATGAATGCAGAATCTGGTGGCTGCTCATCCGGAAAGAATCCACAAAAACATAACATAAATTTTGTCTTTCCTCAAAGTGCATACACACTAATAACAGAAACTCATGGAGTTATTCTCACTTTTTCAAAGTAGGGCTTCAGGGTATTTGCCACGACACCAGCTTGGTGGTTGACAGGCTTGTCCTCTTTATTCTTTTTAAGGTTCTGGTCGGTTGAATCAATGTAAACATAATCAAACCCACCAGGCTT